TGGGAGGCAGAGGCAGGCAGATCTCTGTGAGTTCAAGGCCAGTCTGGTCTACATAGTGCATTCCAGGACAGCTGGGGCTACAGGAGGACCCGCTTAAAAAAAAAAAAAAAAAAAAAAAAAAAACTTAAAGAATTCTTTATTACAGATTATCACAGGGAAAAAATTTTAAAGTACAGATAAAAATCAGTACATATTCTAATTACACTGTGTTGCGACTGTTTCATTTACCATATTTATTTATAATTGATTCATATCTTAAGGAAGGACACAGCATCATTTCTTATAGATTGTAAAAGTTAAAGAAAAAAGTTAACCTACATAGGTTGAGCATTTCATATAAAATGCTTGAGACAAAGTGTTTCAGATTTCAGAATATTTGCATAAACATACTAAGATATCTTTGAGATAGGACCCATTTCTAAGCACAAAGCTTATTTGTTTCATAAATATCTTACACAGAAAGATAACCTTGAACAGCTGTATTTACATTGTGACTGTGACCTGTGACATGAGATCAACTGAGGAATTTTTAACTTTTGGGGATATACTGGGACTCAAAAAGTTTCTTTCCAGTTTTAAAGCAGTTCAGATTTCATATGTTTGAATTAGGGATGCTCAATCTATATAAAACAAAATATTGCTCTGTGTAACAATTTCTCCAAAACATTTATATCTAAAATGTTACTACTATAAATTTTCCTACCTTGGCCTTCTGGAATAATTCTGATTTATATGCTTCCTCTTGTGTTGTTATGCCCACATAACAATAGCAGCCAAGGACGCCAACCAAAAGACTTGAACATCGGACAAGTGCTTCTGAACTGGTAATCTTAAGATAAACCATAAAAATTAAAATTCAGTCCATAAGTAATTCCTTGTGCTCCGGAATTATCTTCTGTAAAAACAAGTTTGTATACTCATCAACAAATAAAAATTGAGTTGAATTAAAGGTGGAATGCCCTGAAAACTGAGTATATGACTCAATGGTAGAGTGCCTTCCTAGCATGTATAAGGTCCTACATTTGATCCCCAGCACTGAAAGTGTTAAAAAGAAAAAAAAATAAAGTTAGATTAATATAAAAAATTATGAGCTTCTGAAGGACAAGTCATTACTAATTATTCAGTGTTTTAGACTCTAGACTAAGAGAAAGCATTTTTTGCCAATAGATTATTTTGGTTAGACCATTTGCAAGAATTATGTAAAATTCTGCAAAGATGGGGGTTGGAGAAATGGCAGAGCAGTTAAGAGCACTGGTTGCTCTTCCAGTGGACCGGGGTTTGATTCCCAGCAACCACATGGCAGCTAACAATCATCTGTAACTCTAGTTCCAGGGGATCCAACACCCTCTTCCAGCCGCTGTGGACTTTGCATGACATGGATTCACTTACATACATGCAGGCAAAGCTCTCAGACACAGAAAAAGAAATAAGACAGAAATTTTTTTTTAATCTGCAAAGATTACACTGAAAAACAAGATTTTTCATGTTTTTGTTCCAATCCTACAGAAAATGGCATTCTATGAGAAAAATATAGAAAAATAATCTACTCTGTAATAAAATCAGAAGTGGTTGTAACAGAGAAAAATATCAGTAAATGGTAATGATAGGAAAAACAGACCCACTGCCTCTCCTTGGTTCTTTGAGTCATTTCCCCTGGCTGCTGAATTCATTCCTTTATATAGCTTATAGGCTTAATTTTACTGAACAAATATATTCTCACTTAAGGCATTGTGGAAGACATAAAGATGAATAAAACATATATGTCCTTTAAGCGGATAATGGCAAAGATAAAGAGATATAGGTGAGTAAAATACAGATATTCATGGTACAGATTAATAAGAGTCTTCAAAATGAAATATTAAATACTATAAGAGGGGGCTGGAGAGATGGCTCGGCGGTTAAGAACACTGACTGTTCTTGCAGAAGACCCGGGTTCGAATCCCAGCACCCACATGGCTGCTAACAACTGTCCGTAAATCCACTTCCAGGGGATCCGACAGCCTCTTCTGTCCTCTGAGGGCATTGCACAACACGGGTGCACTTACTTACATGCAGGCATAACACTCATACACATAAAATAAAAATAATAAATAAAATATTTTAAAAAATACTATGAGAACTAATAGGTGAAAAATATTATGGCTGAGTTACACAGGAAGGCATCCAGAAAGATTTTTAACACATGGACAATCTAAGAACAGAGAAGGACATGCATCGCACATTGAAAGAAACAGTACTTTTCCAGAGAACAGCACACAAGAATTTGTGATTTTACAAAAACAAAGACAATTCCCATTTGATCTCTAAAAGTGACTGCTAGTCCAGTTCTAACTTTTCAAATCATCCCAACCTCTTCAAATGCACCCAAATCTACTGGATTTAAGTTGTATCTTTTCCTGTAACTATAAGCTTTCTTATTAACCAGTAAGTTCATCTCATCATTCTTATGCTCACAGCTTCTCCACTTCCCACTAACCTATCCAAAGAATTCTTTCATCTCCCAGAATTCTTGGCACAGGGGACCTCTCACCCTCCATTCTCCATGCTAAACTCTCCCTATTTGTTGTGATGTGCTACCACTTCCCTTTAAAGCCAAGCGAGATTTCTCATCTCCTTCCTAACAGTCTACCAGAGTTCAAACACAAGCCTTAATTCTTTTTTCAAAATCTCACCTCAGATGAGTAATTATTTAGAAGCTGTTCTGATAATCCCAGAAGATAGCGATCCAATGATTCCTTCAGATTTTGATGGACAGAAAAGCCAATGCTAAGTTGAAACTTCGCTACAGCACATTCTTTCACACTGCTTAAAAAATCCATCTTGTCAAAAGTTGTCTGAAGAAATAGTTCTTCTACTTCTGAAAACGAAGGCTCTTCTTTATCTTTCTGGTGCTGCTCACTTTAAGAGTGAGATTTCTGATTAACAACCACGACTTAACTTTTTTTCCCATTTGTTAGCAATATATTATTACATAGAAAAACATCAAGGTCGTATTTACAGTTACATCAAAGACTCCTTATATGATTAATTTATTATTTTGTTAAGTGTTGC